CAGAGTTCCTGCCTACAGATCCAGAGGTCCGGTACCAGAAGCCTCATGAGAATAACTGAGGAGTTATTTCAAGGAAATAGCGGCTCCGGTCTAGTAATCCGAGATTAATGTCCGTGGGAATCGTTGCGATGACCACGCGGCACCCTCTATCCGCAAATGTTGTCACTAACTTCGCCTACAAGCGGCGGTCGCTCGGTCGGTATAGTTCGCTTACGGACTACAGGCCACGGAGTTTGTTTTTGCCCTCTTCTGGAATACTAGACGACGGAAGTTGCAGAGACTCAGTAATCACGAATGATATTAGCAGAGATTTATGTCTCCTATACAGGGATTCGGAATCAAGAACTGTGCTGGCGAGGACCAGCAGCAATTTACCCGTTACCCATCAGTCATTAAATTGTTAATCAACGTGTTGCTTTCAATCGTGTTCACATCGGCTGGGTCATACCATGCGACAAGCCTAGCGCTAAGCGTACAGGAGACGAAGGCGCAGCTCGGACTGTAGAGCCAGCAAAGAGTAGGAGAAGTAGCAAGAAAAGGAGAATAAACGGATGACAGATGAAGAAGATGATGACGCTGTTCTGTCTCATCACGCTGGCTGACTACCTTATCGCGACTGTTTTGTCATTTTAAACATACCGTTAAACCACGCGCCTTAAGGCGAGAAGTAGCGAACCGCCTGAGGTGGCTGTCCGACAGCTGAGGCTACGGCGCGGACTTCTCGCTTCCTCTGCTCTGTTTATTAAATGTCTACCCGTCCTGAAGGCTTGGTTAATTCCGCCTAAATTTCTTACGCTGCATGTGGCTGACCTGATCCATCTTATATTCATCTGTTTTGCCCAGTGATAGAAGTCTCGACACAGAAGCTGGCACTCCTGTTTCGCATTCGGAAGGTTCCAGGATCGATTTTCTTGCTTCAAGACCGGTTATTCTGACTAGAGGGTCCTCGCTGTTTTCATCACTCTCCTAAAGGTGAATGTTAGGATAGTACTTTAAAATAAGTCAGAACCGGCCCCTTCTACATCTTACCACACGAAGAAGTAATCAGTAATCATTAAATAAGCCAAAAATCGATCAATTAATCGCTTAATATTTTGTTGTTTACTAATGAAAACGGTTTAAATGTACAGTCATGAAAATATTCGCGAAATTGTTCGATAGCTGGTGTTACGTTTTCCGAAATTATCTACACTCCATCTCACGGAGTTATAAAAATTGTGTATGGAAGCAGCTACAAATAATTGTTCACAATTCTGCCGACCCACAGCATGAAAATCCAGGCCTCAGTTATTAATAAATCCACACTGCTCTTTATTATTACGCAAACCTGGACCATCTTCTTTGTTAAAGCACAGGTTTCGACTATTCTATACTAACAAAACCCAAACAGGAAACCGAAAATGAGGACAAATTATGATCGAGATAATATCATAGAAGCCAAAAACTAAATTTGCAGTATTGAAGGTTGCTGCAGATCAGGGATCAACCCGTCAGAACCGTAAAATTACGTTCCCGGGTATCAATGTGTTAAGGAACACAAATATAGATCTTGATTTCCAAATAAACAACTTACGTACAATATGTGGAGTACAGTTCATCTTCAGAAGCTGATAGTCGCTAAGAAACTAAAGAAATCCTCCGCCTTTTATGGAACCCGAAGGTTAATTACCGTTGGATTTGAGGTTCTCACAGAGGTAAACATAGAAACTGTTGCCTTCTAGGATGTGATGTGGCGCAATCTGGCGCATGTCTACCGCACTATACGGGGTCACATTCTAGAGACTAACACTGCTCCAGTAATTCTCGTGGTCACAACACCTCGTTACTTGTCCCTATACTCAGTCAAGTTAATAGTCCCATCCCGATTCATTTTAATATTATCCTCCCATTTATGGCTAGGTCTTCCAAGTGCTCTCTTTCATTCACCGGTTGCGACGAGCGTTTCTTAATCATTTCTCTTCTCTCCCATTCGTGATGTATGCCCGAGCCACCTGATCCTCCTTGAATGGCATTTTCCGAAGCTCTTCATTACGTAGTTTTATTCAGCCTCCTGCTACTTCCTCTCTCTCTCTACAATCCACATGTTTGTACCTTAGGGCCAGGGACCAAGTTTCAAACACAAGAAGACAGATAAAATTAAAGTTTTCGTATACTTTGACCTTTAATGGCAGCAGATATCCCCTGACTTTCGGCCGTTCCTTATTTCTTCGCGAACAAAATTCTGATTCCTTACCGTCGAACTCAAATACAATATCTAATCTTTGCAAAATTTTCGAATATTTCATAGCCACCTTTTCATTACAAACGTACAGGCGTTTAACTGCGCAAATGTAGCCATAAATTTAGATCAGTGTCATGTGACGCATTGTAGTTAAGTAGACAGATAACGTTCTGCAGAAACCTACCGTTTCCATTTTCTGCTAACCTGAGAATAGAGGGAGTGGGTCCCTTCGAACGTTGGTCCCTATCTACCAAACTACACGGCGTCACATCTCTGAAAACAGGAATCTTCATTGAGGTTCTCACAGCTGTGAGGGCACTATTATCTGGGATGTGGCGTTGTTTAGTACGGTACAAGTTTACAGATGTGTCGGAGAAACACACTGCCTCCATCTTCAGGGTTGAAGAGTGAGGCAACCAAGAAGCAAAAACAAGCAACGGCCGGTAAGCAAGCTTTGCTTCTGTGTTCCTATCAAAATTTGGTGAAGTTCCACCAGGTTACACGGCGTCACATCCCAAAATATCGTAAAAAGGTAAATTTGTCCCCGTGCTTAATTAGTTAAGCATTATTCCATGAAGACATATTGGGGGGTGGAGGTATAGCTCCACCATTCTCGACCTCGGCACTAGATGGTGATCAGTTATCAGCTTCAGGATCCTGCCGCTTTACCCCGGGGGAAAGAATCCGCAGTACCCACTGGATAGGAGGCTGGGTGTGTCCCAGAGCCTGTCAGGACGTTGTGGAGAAGAGAAAAATCTTGCACTGTCGGGAATCGAACTCCCGCCGTCCAGCCCGTAGCCTGTCGCTATCCTGACTCGTTCAATATCTTCACACTCAGCCCCATGTGAACCTCAAATTTCAACACAACTATAAATCAATTTCCATCACTTAACTATAATCATTTAAATACGTACAATAGAATATAACCGATTAATGAAAATCGGCCGCCCTCGTCTCTAACCAATCAGAACGTAACCGCATTTCGGCCACGCACAGACGCAGGGCCCCTTCCGAGCCGACAACCCGCCTTATAGAAAGTTCCATTTGGTCCGAGCTCGAACTGTTTGCGCGATATTTTAATATTTGATAAAAACTGTACTTCGAAGCCCTCAAAAGCACAATTACATCAATCACTACTGGGGTTGGGCATGCAGCCAGGAGCAACGAACTCTAGTTCATCAATGAGCAGGCTTATATGAAATTAGCACATGGCTGTGTAATGCCTGGCTAGCACGAGTACTATTGCGACACAACCAACAGAACTTCTACGTGTCTGCAGCATGTATCCGCAGAACCCTTTCCGTATACATTTATCGTGTAAAATGGACGTTTCGGGGTCATGAGGATATTGTAAGTAAATAAAGGTAAACCCTCGTTATAACGGACTCGTGTGTAGGGGACAAAATTTGGATGTGTACGATTGTAAAGTTCTCTATAAATGTTAAGGAACTAAGGAGGTTTTGTAGATAGAAAACTATATAAAATAAAAAAGAACACCGATATGAAAAGCGTGTTTCTGTGTTCACTGCATGTACTATCTATGGCTCTATAGTGTGCTTCCGTGAAAACGCATTCACTCAGTTACAGCGGACACCGGCGTTAAGAGACACCAGTCCGTTATAACGAGGGTTTTGTGGGATGAGAGTGAGACCACTTGGTACCTCGGCCACTAATTGGCCTACTGTACAAGCCCCGGATGACAGATGATGAGTGTGGATCAGGCGGTGGAATGAGGATTGGCAGGGGAAACCGAAGTACTCGGAGAAAACCTGCCCCAGTGCCATTCTGTCCACCACAAATCCCACACGATCTGACCTGGGCTCGAAGCCGGCGACTAACCGCCTGAGCTATGGAGCGGCCACTGTATCTGCATACGCCTGACACCCTACGGTACATGCGTTACATGGACCCCGGAAACAGAGTGCAGGGATCCTGAAAGCATTGCGTATGAATCTTCTAGGAGGGCTTCAGCATTCGTGTACCGCGTAAACAACACTTCCATGCATTACGGATTCTGGAAACAAACGTCTTCTTCGCTTATATTTCATGGTTTTGTTCACCATTTCTATAGGAAGAACAGAAAAACTATTCTACTAAACATGTAGATGGTTCTGGATACAGAGAAGATCCTGCAATTACGTTTCAAAACTATTTTAACGTATATTCATCGTAAGAAAAATAGAAATCACGCGTTGCGTGGATACTGAAACATAATATTTTAATGTTTTGGGGTTACAAAACATTTTAGTGAGGTCACATTTTTATGCGAGGGTGCGTTCCTGAAGACCTCGCACAATTCAAGGCAAGTTTGAAACATATCCGTGATTCTTGCTGAGTATTTTTTCGGGTTCTCGTGTGTGTTATTTGTCTGTTGTCTTATTGCAGTAATGTCTGTTGTCTGTTGTCTTATTGCAGTACCACTGCCACGGGGTGAAAACCCATTTGCAGTCAAATAATAATAATTTCAAACTTTGCGCATAAAGTGAGAATTTATTAACATTTGTATATCGCACTATTTCAATTCGCAATAAAATGCGATAGTACTGTACGTCTATTGCAGGATGAGGACTGTCACGCATGTTTATAAGGACTATGGAAAGTAAAGTCATTGATGCACTTAAGCTTCGTAATTATTTAAAAAAAATCTACGTAGGAAAGATAATTTCACGCGTTATTTTGGGAGTAATGGTTTCATTCTGTCACACATCTTTCGCAGCAGGAACACACTTTCCGGCACATTCTGGAAACCCTAGGCTACTCTGTCACGGGCTGTACTCACTATAATCGCTGCCATCGTCGCTGGTACCGTTGACGGCTCCATCCGGGAGGATCTGCAGATATCTGTTCTTGATGTACATCTGTATCTTGCGCGCGGTGCCCGTGATGTGGGACAGATTCGTGCTTCTTTCGCTGCGAACTGCCCCGTCGTCGGCGAGGGCTTGTTCCGCCGGAGGGGCAGCTGTGCCGCCGTGCAAAGACCGGTCACCAGCCGGCAAGATGAGCTCGTACCGTTGGGGTGGGTACACCCGAGGGTGCACGGGTCTCGCTATCGAAACTGCCACTAGAAAAGCTACCAGACAGCCCAGGTGAAGAAACACCTTAACCATGACTGGGTGTCATCGCAAGCTATGCGCACAATCATACCGCGGCGGACATGACGAGGCGATCCCCCGCTACTGCGGCTCTAGCTGATGTTACTTCTTCTTCGCTTGCCACACACAAACTGGCTAGGAGCGGAACGCTCGGGCCGGAGTACTGCACTAGTTGCCAGTCCCCCTCCACCGTGCAGGCCGTGAAACAACGAAACAACGAACTCACGTAAACGCCAAGCTGTGCTGTGACTGGTGGCCCTCTATCAACTGCACAGGTTAATCAGACCAACTCTTCCAACTTATGAATGAAAAAGCGGTTACATATTCGTGATATGATTATGTTTGCAACGACGAGTTATTCTGGGATATAACGACGTGTAGTCCGATGAAAGTCAACTGACGTTTCGGAGGAACATGTTGACTCAATCTTCCGGGTCCAAGAATGAGTCACGCAAGAGCTGCCTGTCACCTGTTTCTACGCTACTTTCTTCTTTGGCTCATTATTAGAGCCTGAAGAAGGAGGCGATATGTTCCTCCGAAATGTCGTTTGACTTTCAACGGATTATATGGCGTTATAACCCGGAAGAAATGACTCTTCATAACCACCGAGGGACATACCAAAAATTATGCATGATCTTTAAAATGGTGTCTTATAAGTCATTAAATGTCTCTGAATCAATAAACTAGGTTATTCACAAAGGAGCGAGATGAGAGAATTTGTCACATAATTCTCTGACTATCTTTTAGGTAATTTGACGGCGCTGTTTCGACTACAGAGATTATTTGATGAGATGACAGACTTTTTTAGTTATGAAATGTGTGACAGATGGGGCACGCGGCACCGTAGTTGGCGGAGGCACTATGCTACAAGTCGGAGGGTCGTGGGTTCTATTCCTGATGAGGTCATTGGATTTTTCAATTGACCTAATCCTTCCAGTCGCACTATGACACTGTGGTCGACTCAGCCTCTAACAGAAATGAGTACCATGAAAATTATTATAAATTTACCGACGTTTTACCAGCAGAATGGACTACTCGAAACGAATTAGATGCGAGAATGTTTATGCATGTAACGTAACGATCTTACTGAACTGCAGGTATTATTAAACATCACATGCGACGAAACAACGTGCAGGTTTACACGACTTATTCGCAAGTTATGAAGGGCGTGGGAGGACGGTCATGCCTTCGCGGCACTAGCTTTTAGGACTTACTGTCTACATAGAGCGCGCCATAGATTAAGCGGTTAGTCGCTGTCTTCCTACCGCGGCGGCCCGGGTTCGATCCCGGGTCTGGTCAAGTGGGATTTGTGGTGGACAAAGTGGCGCTCGGCAGGTTTTCTCCGAGTACTTCGGTTTCCCCTGCCAATTTCCATTCCACCAATTGCTCCACAATCACCCCACTATCAATAAAAGAAGAATACTACCTACATGGAGGGCAGAATTTGAAATTTTAGTTAATTTGCCGGTAATTTAAGAGCTCGGATACCGACGTGAAAGCAAGTTTCCTAAAGATTACAGGCGAACCTCTAGTAACGGACGTTCAAGAAACGAACAAATCGTATTTACGAACATTACACGGGCTAATAAATCGCGACATTCAATTCATTTAGCGAACACAGAACCTCGCACACAGAGCCAGCAGTACAACGCATGCAGTAACAGGAGCAAAACACAATACAGAACACGATACACAAATATATGTAGGAGGAATGCTCACATAAAGAGGATTGGCGTAATTCGCGTGTTTGAGTGCGACGTAGGAAGAATCCTGAAAAGTTTTATTATTTAGAATTAATCGTCCTATATGACGAACACAGATTTTAGTCATTTTAGAATGGAGACATTGTGGCATGCAGTACAATAGTTTAACGTGCATAAAGACACCTGAGGATGGCACATTACTGCCGAAACATATAGTGAGGAAGTGAAGAATAAGGTGAAAAAGTGTATACACTGTAAGACGGTCAGCATAAACCATGGACAGAACCTCGCGCTTACGAACATTTTAACAAATTGCTATTAACAAATTTAATGATAGATCTTATTAACTAAGATAAATTGAACTTACAAACACGAATCAATGAACGCATTATGTTCACAAGTTGGGGTTCGTCTGATACTTTACGGAACGGACGTGGGTAGTGCTGATGCTCCGTTCGATTCACAGTCGGTACACTGGCTATTCTGAATCAAGTTTTTCGTGATTTCCCTCAGTCCTTCCAGACTAATCCCGGGCTAGCATCATGCTACAGCCCGCCACATCTTCCTTTCAAATCCCTTCAAATTCATGACCCATCAATCTACATATTCCAACGCTGTATAATTTAGCTACAGACTGTGAAGTACAAAAACCCAGAAAGAAAAGCAACTTTTGAGTAACAACGAAATATAAGCATTTTAAAGGACTGTACATAAAAGGTAAAAAGTAAAGTTGTCCATGTGTTTAACTAATTAAGCATTACGCTATGAAGGCGTATGGGGAGTGCATATATAGATCCACGTGTTCTTGACCTCAGCACTAGTTGGAGGTGAGTAGTCAGCTTTGCCCCCCGTACACATTAGATAGGAGGCTGGGTGGGTCCCAGAACCGTTCTAAACGACGTAGAGAAGAGAGAAAATTTGGCGCTAGCGGGACTCGAACTCCGACCCCTCTGTCGTCCGGCCCGTAGCCAGTCGCTATACGAACTGAGCTATTCCGGCGTTGGACTATACATAATCATCACCAGTACTCGGCAGATTGGGCCTCTTGCTTTTCCTTATGTTTCCATGAGTATCCGGAGAAAATGTTCAGAGATTTCTGCTACCCGTGGAGGAAATCATGCACACATTAGAACATCAGCCATTACCAGGAACAGGCACGGCAAATCTGAGAACATGGCAACGGAAGTTACAAGCGCGGAACATCAGCACGGTCAGCAATCACATCTCTGGGCGGACACACAAAATGCTCTTACAACTTCATAAAGGCAAAAATAAAGTTGTCCCTATGACGGAGTGGATGTGTAGATCCACGTGTTATTGACCCTCGGCACATGTTGAAGGTGAGAGATCAGCCTCACGCCCTGGCCGCTTTAATTCCGGGGAAAGAGCCTTGCTACCCATTGGATAGATTTGATGGGCCCCATAGCCGGTCTGAACGACGCGGAAAAGAGGGAATTCTTGACCCTACCAGGACTCGAACTCCGATCCCTCGGTCTTCCAGCCAGTAGCCAGACAGCGCTATCGGGATTCCATCTTATTAATTTCATACGTTACGTGACTGGTAACAACACGATTCGTGTTACGTAATACCTCATCATTAATAATTCATGAGGTACTGTTATGCAAATGAATACATTCCTCACACTTCACAATCATTAACGAGGTTGGATAAACGTATTATTCGATCAAGAAATTCTTCATTCATTGCTATTTCCCGAAGATTCATATTTCTATCTGCCAAATTTGGAGATCTGCCTGTGGTTACACTAGTTCACTTCCATCCAGCCTTCATGTTTCGCGGCTTCCATTCACGGATCACATCAAACTTGTTCACACCTCGTAGGCCCGTGCATATTAATAGACGAGTTGCGTCACACCTGTACTGTCATTCAACACTAAGAAAATACTCGGATGACTGAACCTGTCACTTAACTGTCAACGAGCTGTCTGCAGTTGCGGTAGACCTCTGGCCTTGTATAAAGGAGGTGCACGGTTCGACTCTCAAACGGGATACTAACTAACTTGAGTAAAGATTTCTGTGGTTTGCAACATTCTGTCCAGGAAAATGCCTGGCAGTACCTCCATCAGGCCAAGGTCATTTCCTTCCAATCTCCGTCCATTAATCATCCTATCATCATAATCATCATTCTAACCCGCCTCCAAACGAAATAATCATCCTATCATACGACACAATATAGTTTATCTAGGCACTATGCTACAATCCGGAAGGTCGCGGGTTCAAGTCCCGATGAGGTCATTGGATTTTTTCAACATATGTAATCTTCCAGCCGCACTATGGCCCTGAGGTCGACTCAGCCTCTAACAGAAATGAGTACCAGGAATATTCTTGGAGGTAAAGGGCGGCCGGCGCGTAAGGCTCACGACCTTGCCGCCATCTGTTAGTCGATTTTCTGAAGAAAATGTGGGAGCCTCGACATCTCACAACGTTATGGGCCTTCACGGCCTGTTACAGGGATACCTTTACTTTTTTTTCTTACTCATCTATCTATTTGATTCTACAGCTCTTTGTTGAAGCTTAGCTACTTTTCAGTTTCTTAATCTATACACGGCCGGTAGGACTCCTTGAACGGGGGATGAGCCCGTCGCAAGGCCGCTACCTACACACAGAACAAGACAAATACAGAATAAAAGCACACAGACATCTATACCGTGAGTGGGATTCGAACCCACAAAACCAGAGTTCAAGCGAGCGAAGAGAATTCGTGCCTAAGACAGCGCGGCAACGATGATCGGCCACAAAGTAGTTTACCTTCGTAAAACATGCAACAAAAGAAAGGAGAGGATAATACACTTTGGAATATAGTGCCGTGTAGTCCGTTCAGAGTTAATCGATGTTTCGAAAGTACATGCTGCCTCTATCCTCACGATCTAAGAATAAGCCGAGCAACAAACCAGAGTGAAGGTTTGTTTGTTGTATGTTTCATGCCAGTTTGTACCTCCAGAGAACAGAACACTGCATAACCCCAGGTCCCACGTCACTCACTTGTTCCACAGGGCCATGCAGGGTTTCCGTGTAAATTGCTTCAGCAACACTCACAGATCCACTGTCTTGCAAGCAGTCACTGTGCTTTACGTTGTTACGCACCGAAGCCGCCGCCCCTCCCACATCGTCCTCCCAGTTAACACAATGCAATGCTTCTCTTGCCAGTTCGAAGCCAATTATTTAGCGTTTCTTGCACTGAATGCGAAGACAATTTGGCCTGGCATTCTTCGTGCTTTGAATGGAAGTGGCGTTTCAAATTGAAAGCCTTGAATGCAGAGCCATATGACTGCAAGCTGGACACAAAACGTGAAATCCCTTGTCTCTGAAGGAGCACCGTTCCTTCCACAACTCGGTCAATGAAGTACAACGGACTGGTGTAGATTTTACATTGAAGAATATAATATATGTCATATT